CCCCTCGAATTGCATGCAACATGCACGGAACAGGCATCAAACGGACGGCCGGCAAGAAAAAGATTGAAACGGCTTTGTGGAGCATCAAAGTGACTCTCGTCTCTCTCATCTCATCTCATTTCAACTCTCTCTCTCTCTCTCTCTTTCTTTCTCTCTTCTCTCTCTCTCTCTCTCTCTCTCTCTCTCTCTCTCTCTCTCTCTCTCTCTCTCTCTCTCTCTCTCTCTCTCTCTCTCTCTCTCTCTCTCTCTCCTTCATTCTCGTTTTCTTCCCTACTTCCTTCCCTTCACTCCCTCTTTCCCCCTTCCCTCTCCCTTACCCCTTTCCCCACCCTCTCTCCCTTTTCCACCATTCCCTCTCCCTTCTCCCTCCCTCTCTCCCCCCAACTTTCCACCCTCCCTTTCCCACCCCTCCCTTTTCCACCCATCCCCCCCCCCTTTCCCCTCTCCTCCCCCACCTTTCCCCTTCCTCCCCCTTTTCCACCCTTCCCTCCCCCCTTTCCCCCTTTTCCACCCTTCCCTCTCCCTCCCCCTCCTTCCCCACCTTTCCACCCTTCCCTCTCCCCTCCTCCTCCTCCATTCCACCCTCCCCTTTCCCACCCCTCCCTCTCCCTCCTTTCCACCCTTCCTCTCCCTCTCTCCCCCTCCATTCCACCCCCCCCTTCCTCTCCCCTTCCCCTCCATTCCACCCTTCCTTCTCCCTTTCCACCCCCTTCTCCCCTCTCCCCTCCATTCCACCCTCCATCTCGCCCCTAAATCCAAAATCTATTCAGATATTTCAACAATTGCTGGGGCATCGGATGATAAAATCGGCGGCCACTCTCCGCTCAAATACCTGCATCTCATTAACAGGAACCGACTGCAGTGTACGTTTTAAATGCGGATTCGCCCTTATAGGCTACAAAACACGGCGCGGTGTTTGAAGTTATATTTTGATGTTTTATTTATTTATTTTATTTATTATTTATTTATGGGCTTATATTTTGATGTTTTATTTATTTCTTTATTTCTTTATTTATTTATGGGGCTTATATTTTGATGTTTTATTTATTTTATATTTTTATTTATTTATGGGCTTATATTTTGATGTTTTATTTCTTTCTTTCTTTCTTTTATTTATTTATTTATTTATGGGGCTTATATTTTTGATGTTTTATTTATTATTTATTTATTATTTATTTTTTATTATGGGGCTTATATTTTGATATTTATTATATTTTGATGTTATTTATTCATTTATTGATTTATGGGGCTTATATTTTTGATGTTGTATTTCTTTCTTTATTTATATTATCTATTTATTTATTTATGGGGCATTTTTTTTAAGGGTTGGAAAATCGCGAAGGGAATCGTGTTCAGATATGTTATTCTGTTCCGGTTTGGTTTAATTATTCGTCTTTACTCATGACAAAGGGAACATCTGTTTACATATATGGAAAAAAAAACATAAGTAAGGATCTAAACCAATTCCTCCCTCCCCCCCATTAATGTAACAATAACATCCGAAAATCATGATCATTATTCTCATCATTACCATCAATCATCATGATCACAACCCGATCCGAATTCCAAAAACCGAAAACCAACCAAAAAAACAACTAAACAACCCCAAAACCAAACACAACAACAACCCAAATCCCTTAAAAAAACCACACTTCAAAACCAACCAACCCCAAAACCAAACACAACAACAACCCAAATCCCTCAAAAAAACACACAACCAAACCCAAAAAAAAAAAAAAAAAAAAAACACACTCCAAAGCATCAATTGAGAGAGAGCCCGCGCGACGTCCACCCCGTCCGACACCGAGGAGCGAACTGCGGCGCCCGCGATGTAAACAAAAGGCCTTTTAATCAGACAACGGACGGGGTGGGGAGGAGCGGGGATTGTGCTCACCTGTCCGACCCCATAACCTTACCTGACGGAGGCGAAGGGGTGGAGGGGTGGGGAGGGTGGGGGAGGAGGAGGAGGGGTGGAGGGGGGTGGGGAGTGAGTAAGAGGGAGGATAGGTGGGGGATAGAGGAGAGGGGTAGGAGGAAGTGGTGGAGGGGGGGGGGAGGATGGATAGAGGAGAGGAGGAGAGGTGGAGGAAGGGGTGAGGGATGGGGAAGGGATGGAGGAGAGGAGGCGGGGCGGGAGGAAGGGGGGAAGAGTGAGGGAGAGGAAGGATAGGATGGGGATAGAGGAGAGGGGTAGGAGGAAGGGGAGAAGAGTGAGGAAGAAGAAGGATAGGATGGGGGATACAGGAGAGGGGTAGGAGGAAGGGTTAGGAGTGAGGGAGAGGAAAGATAGCATGGGGGTGGAGAAGGTGGGATGGAGGAGTGGGAGGAGGGGTGGACGAGAGGAAGAGGATGGGGTGGAGATGGGGTATGGGTGGAGAAAAGGAGGGGGTGGAGTAAGCGTGGAGGAGGGAGGGAGGGTGGAAAGAGAGGGTAGGATTGAAGAAAGGAACGAAGAAAAGATAACAAAGAAAGAAAAAAACGAAAAACAAAAACAAAAGGAGCTAAAGACGAACTGAAACACTGAGGAAAAAATAGAGAAAAAACAGAAAAAC